TCTAGGCAATGGGAGGGAGTCAGCATAGGAAAGGCTTCTCAAAGCCCACCCTGGTTTTGTACTGCTACCTCCCTCCCACTCCAGAAAGGTGCAAATTTGACAATTCTCACTGCCCCATCCTCCCTAAGCCATACTGACATTATCAAAACCAAGGCTTCCAAAACTGTGGAAACCACCATAGTGTTTAGAAATGGCTCTGGGCTGCAATCAGCCCTTCTGGAGCTTGCCTCTGTTTCTGTGGCATGGAGAAAATGAATATATTGTGCCACACCTGAAGCCCCTGCCTTCCACATAAGAAGAGAGCCCTGCTGGATCAAGCCAAAGGGGCCAACTAGTCCAGTATCCTGTTCTCTCAATGGCCAACCAGATGGTGAAGCCTGAAAGCTGGACTTGAGCACAACAGAACTCTGCCCACCTGCCAGCAACTGGTATTCATGGGCACAACAGCTCTGGCACCCACAATCTGGTTCCCTCCAGATGTTTGAGTATCAACTCCCATAATCCTTTGCTGACACAACCAATGGTCAAGGATAGCAAGAGTCGTGGTCCGACCAAGACCTCCCTGGAGGGCACCAGTTTGGGAAATCCTGCAAACCACTGCAGTTCAGAGGTGCTTTAATAAGGCATGTGATAGACTGTGGAGGGCCATCTGGTGCACTGAGACCAGTCCCTAGATCAGGAATCTTCTTGGGCTCCCCCTTTCTTTCTACAAAGCATGCCTCTGAGGTTTTCTGGCTGGGCTGGGGTAGCATCTGATTGCTGAGGACTTGTACAGCAGGGCCCTTGGCTCATGACTCATCTTCTAAGTATGGCCACCCATGTCCATAAGAATGATCACATGGAGAGATTGACAGTAAAATATTGCAGCATGGAGTGCACCTGTTCATGGCTGGCTGGCTGGCTGGCTAGAGCCCTGCTCTCTCTCCCAGGTTACTCCATTCCATGTCCCTACCCCTGTTTTTTGTTGTTGCTCTTTCTCCTTCCCTCCAACAGTCCATCAGCATCCCATGGCCACTGTGTGCTGTTTGTACCAGGGTTGGGATGCTGCTGTGGACTCCAGATCCCATCAGCCCCAGCCAGCATGAACAGTGATCAGGGATGATGGAATTTGTAGTACAATAACATCTGGAGGTCCACAGGTTCCACATCTCTGCATTAGTATTTAATTATGTAATTATGGGAACATAGGGACCTGGCGCCTGCCACCACAGTCTTTTCTTTTACCTCGCCAATCCTTCACCTTTCTAGTTCTGCCAAGAGAATTCCCCTACCTACATCCTTCTCTCTGCCTTTGCAGAGTCCAGACTCAAAGGTCCTTATGAAGACAGCATCTTCTAGCGAGTGAATGAGAGAACATATCTTCTCACGCCAGACCCGGTAGCGTATGACATTTGCCATGGGATTCTCCCAGGGTTGTCTTTTGTCACTAGCTCACTTGTTCCAAATCTCAGGCTTTATAGAGGGTTGCGCCTCACATCCAAGCAAATCAAGAACACCAAGCAGACAGGTCACCCCTTTTATCTAAGAACATTTCACCTCCGCATAACTCTGTGGAGCACAAGGCACATCTCCAGGGTGTCCTTTGTTTTTATTTTGATCTGACAACTCTGTCCTTTCCTTTTGCTTATCAAAAGGAAGTGGGGTTGTATGCTTCCTTAACTTGTAGCTTAACTTAGGCAAGGAGCACTCTGGGGGCACCATGAAGTTGTGAAAATAAACAGATGATGCCTTGTCTTATCTCACCACTGGCATATAGGCAGGGCAAATCACAGACCTGGCTGCCTAATGGAGAGGCAGTCCAGTAATACACCAACTGAAATGCAGGCTTCAGATCCCTCCTACTTACATCCACTGGCCCCTTATATCTCACCCCAGGCACAGCTCAGAGGCATCCTTCATCTACAGCTGTTGATTTCTGACATCTTAGTCCACTGTGAGTTTTCCAATCAACCCTCCGTTGGAGCACATGCTGGGGTCACAAGATCAATTTCAACAGAGATCAGTTACCCCATACTACTTTTTATTTTAACCAAACCATCAAGCTATCAGGGCAGCCCAAGAGAGTCAATGGGTGGACCATGGGTGTTCTGGAGGAAATGAAATGGAGGAAAAGATTTTAATCCACTTCGGTGCTGTGCAGGGAATGCACCCAACCATAGGCTAGCAGTATAAGATGGGGTGATATTGTATTATGTGTTGATAGTGATTGGGTCACCTCACTCCATATGATCTCCTTGCTCACTCCCCACAAACAGAACTGTGGAGGGAAATTGGCATCAAGGCAGTGGAGGATCATAGAGCTGAACTGAGGGCCATTTGTCTTAAGAAGCCAGTGAGGAAAACCAAGAGACACGACTTTGGGGGAAATGCATGGGAGCAAAAAGAGAGCTAAGGGACAAAGACAATCTGAGATGAAAAGGTAGTTGTGTGATCCTAAGGGAGCAGGCTGAGAAAGTCAGGATTATGGAGCATTGGTAAGGGGGAGAGGCAATTATTAGTCCAGCAGTTTTTCAATGCTTGTTTCAGCTCTGACACTGTGCCTGGCTACAGCTGATACCGCCGTGGCTCCCTGAGTCCTCAGAACAGCACAATAACTTGGGGCATGTGGGATGATGCAATTGGCTTGGGCTCTTGTAGATTTGGAAAAGCACAGAACAAACTGTCTGCATTCTGGAATTGCCTGCCCACTCTGTGCAAAGGGGTCAAATTGCCCTCATCCATAGGCGAAAGGCTTCCTATGCTGCCAGGATGAGCCTCAGCCTCCAGGCAGGTGGAATGCCCACCATCTTCAGCAGGGCCCCTTTTGTGACTGTGCCTCTAGACGGGAAGACTTACCCCCTGCTTGGCTTGAAAGTTGGCTGTCTCCCTACAGGCTGGCACTGAGATCAGTGAGAAGAGCGGAGTGAAAAGACAAAACAGTATCCACTCATGCTCCCCTCTGCTGCCAGGTCCAGGTCCTCATCCTTCAAAGCAGCCTGTGGCATGTGTGGGTTTTCAAAGAATCACTGTGCAGCTCTACAATAGGCAGCTTGTTTGTGCAGTTGGTAGTGGCTGCTCTGTAGAGGGCATGTATTTCTCATTGCCAGGTGTTCTGGCTAGGTGCGTAACTGAAGGGCTCTGTGACATACAAGTGTGTGGCCAGGAGGCGTGTTGCCTAGAGAGGAGTTGTTATGATCAAAGGCAGCATAACATGTGTGCAGTTGTGTGAATGTGTGGTTGTTTGCTGACAATGCAATCACCGTGTGTGTGTGTGTGTGTTTGTATATGTGCACATTATCTTTTGCATTTGTGAATGTGTCTGTGTCTGTGTCTGTTGTGCATGCACACGAGTGCCTAGCATATGTTCAAACCTCTTGCTGTATGGGGTTGGTGGGAGCTGCAAACAATTTGCAAAGGACCCTTCTAATCCTCAAGAGAAGCGTGCGTCCATGAGTGTGTGTGTATCTTTGGTGCATTATGACGGAGTGGCTGGGGTTGTAGCTTGGAAATCCTTCTGCTGATGAGGCTCCAGAAGCAATTCCAGAGACACACCTGTGCATGCCAGGTTAGCTTCCCCCAAACTCTGCTTAGAGAAGGAGGGTGGGAGGAATGAGAATGGCTGTCCTCCTTCGGTTCCACGCTCTGCTACTGACCTGCTGGCTGACCTTGGTAATGTCCCTAAGGCTCTGGGCCTCAGTTCGCCACTATTTAGTTTGGGAATCAAAGCCCTGCCAGGCCTCATGGAGGCTGGAGGGCTGCACTGTTGTTGTTTTTTGTTCAAGCCTTGGATGTTGCTCTGATCAGGAAACTAACTGCCTCTGAGCCCAGCCGGACAGTGAACTCTGGGTGAGCAGATGGGTGTCTTTGTTGGAGAGGAATGTGAAACAATTAGCCAACCCTCTGAAGACACCCTCTGTCATCCTAATAACACACAGACATACACACCCCTTCCCACATCAATATTCCTCTCTTTGGCACAGGGCAAACTGAACGCAGATGCACCACTAGGCCCCATGCCTTTCGTCAAATCCTCAGCTTGGGGTTCCCATCACAGACCCAGGGCTTTTCAGGTTAAATCTATGTACCATAATCTTCTCCCCTTACCCCAACCACAAACTTCCCCTGCCAACCTCTAGGCACAACTGCCCCCGTAGTTGTTGGAAGTCCCACTTCCATTATTCCTCCTGTACAGAGAGGTCCCAGTTATCCTGCTGAGGCCAGAGCAGTCAAGCAGTCTCTGTTTCACATCCTTCCTACAAAACCCTTTCGGTCACCTTGCAAAAAAAAGAGCTGCCTGCCAGATCTGAGAAGCAAGACAAATAAGACTGTGAGCTCCACTGAAGCCAAGAGGATTGGCAAGAAGGTGGGTGGGGAGGGGGCAGAGATGCAGCCAGACACCCCCACACTCCCCAGCTCTTGTTTTAACTCAAGCAATGGGCAGAAACGCAAGCATTGAGAGATCAGGACGGAGCCCCGGAAAAGAGGGTCCTTCTGCTGCAGACACAACACACACTTTGGCAGTGCCAGGGCAGCGGGTGGCGGAGGCAGCGTTGCACATGGCACCGAGCCCAATGGCTGCTTTAGACAGAGCAGGGGGTGCAGTCGGCCTGGAAAGTTTGTGATTACACTTGGTGCTGCCGAGTGGCTCCCTGCCGAGTCCAGGGTTCCCCGCACACCTCGACGACGACGATCCGCGCCCACTCCCGCTTGCCGAGCCCCTGGCTTCCATAACACACACCTCGTGCCCACTCCTAGGACGATGCCACCTGGCGGCTCCATTGCCCCCCTGGCTGAAGCCACGGCGCCGCATCCTCTGCCAGTGCCCACCGTACTCCCCGTCGAACCGAACTCAGATGCCTCTTCCGCTCCAGCCGCCCCCTCACGCCGCCGCCGCCGTTACCCCCCCCCCACGTCCCCGAGGCTGCCACCCGTCAAGGAAGGCACCCGAGCAGAGCGCGAGAGCCGCTCACGCTGCTCCAACCAGACCGACGCCACCGCGCGTAAAAAGCGCTCTGACTCACCGTTGGGATGAATGTGGCTAGTGAGGATCGTGCCAGCCAGCAGGACATGCCATAGTCTTGTGCCCAGGCGGGCACCGGCTCCCAGCTGCTGCCATAAAGCCATCCTTCGGCAGGAGAGAGGGTCGTCGTGTGAGGACGGGGCAGGATCCGGCCCAGGGAGAGAGGAAAGGAGAAAGGAGGAGGAGGAGGGGATGGGGACGGCCCAGGGAGCACTGGAGGGGGGGGGGTCCCAGCTGGAGTCTGCTCCGCGCTGCCGCCGCCGCCGCAACAACTCCTCAAGGCACCTCGGGGGCACTTAGCACCCCAGCCCGCCGCGGGCTCCCTGCGCGCTCCATCTGCTGCTCATGGCCGGGCGGACCCGCCGCCAGGGCTTCGAGGGGCAGCTGGCAGGGGGCGGCGGCAGGAGAAGGGGGCTCGATCCGGCAGCCAGCACTGGAGCTCCGTGCCGGGCAGCCGCAGAGACCCCCTCGCCGGCCGGTCGCGGCGGCGCGGCTTGCGTGTGCGCGCGCGCCTCTCTCTCTCTCTCTGCGCGTATGCCAATCTCTCTCTGCCTGTCTCTCTGCCTGTCTCACCCTCGTTGCCACTCACTGCCAGGCAGCGCCGGGCTGGCTGCAAGCACCTTGTCCGCGGCAATGCAGAAGAGAAAGAAGAAAGAGCCAGCGAGGGGCTGCAAAACCCGGACTGGAATCCGCCACGGGAAGGGACGGAGCAACAGCTGGTTCCAGACTGACAAGCTCCGGAGACGCAAACAAGCCCTCCTCTGGGAGGGAGAGGGAGCCGCAGCCGCCAGGCGGAGCCCAGCACACCTACCTCCCGCGCCGGGCTCGCTCGGCAACGCCGGCGAGGGAGGGAGGGAGGGGAAGCCCGCCGCCGGCTCGGAGAGGGAGGTGGGCTCGGGGGCCAAGGGCGCCCGGCGCTTGCTAGTCTATTCTTGTTATATGGCGGGGTAGGGCAGGAGGCTGGCTCCGCGAGGAATCCTCTCGACTGGCCGGCCTCACAGCACTTTCCCTCCCCGCGGGCCCGCGGCTTCCCTACCCGCCCCCGGAGGAGCAACAGGCGGCAGTAGCAGCAGCAGCAGCGCGAAGCGAGCAGACTTCCTCGAAGGAAGCCCCAGTTCCGCCCCCCAGCCGACGGCCAGGCTGCCCCCCAGCCCACTCTTCACACAGGACGGGGCCAAAGGTCTTTCAGCCCCGCAGCGGCCCACCCCCCTCGCAGCGATTCCGCCGCCGCCCCCTTAGCCATCTCTGCTGTTTCTGGGAGACATCATCACACCTCCACAGCACTCCTGAGAGGCGAGCGAGCAGCATTCACACATCGCAGAAGAAGGGAAAGAGCGGGAGAAGGGCTGAGGAAGGAGGGGAGGAGGGAGGGAGGGAGGGAGGAAGAAGCCCCCCCCCCGAGCTCCAGGAGAGTGGACCCTTCCCCTCATAAAGGGCTCCAGTCCCCCGCTCCCCCCCCGCGGCCACAACGTCTCTGAGGGCGCAAGGCGTCGTTCCCAAGGGGTCCGGAGAGTCCCGTCCGGCTGCCGCCTCGTCCGGACTCCAGTCCTGGGCTTGTCTGGAGCAGGGACTGCCAATCACCGGCATTTATGTTCTGGACAAACGTCCCCTGAGGAGCTGCCTGGGACCCCCGCGCTCTCCCGGTGCCGTCTCTGCCGCAGCAGGGCGGGGAGCAGAGGCGGGCGGAAGAAGGAAGGGAGCAGGGTGTGAAGGAGCCCGCGGGGCAACCCTGCCCGGCGAGGGGGCGGGGAAGGAGGGCGCCAGGGTCAGGCGAGGGGGCTGGCGAGGAAGAAGCCCGCGCCTCTTGCAACACAAGGAGAGAGAGGAGAGAGACGCCGCTCTCGCAGGAAGAGACACAAAAGACGGGACGAAACAGGCTCGGAACAATATGGGCAGACTCCGGCGCACGTACGGAGGGCGGCGGGCACATGGCATCGCGGGGAGAGTTGCACCGCAAGCCACATGCATGCATGCACATCGCATGTCAACACAACGCAGGATATGAACACGGCGAACGGAGACGCGCCGAAGGAGGAGGGGAGCGGGAGGGAGGGAGGCGGAGAGACAAAGCAACACAAAGAACAACAGACAATTCGCACAGAAAGACCAAACGGAACAGGAGCAGACCCCGGGCACTCTCTCGCGCGCGCCAGGCAAGGGCGACAGCGCTGCCTCTTTGTACAGAGCGGGGCTCGTAGCTCAACACACCAGGTCCCACGCTCACCACATGGTACTAGGAGGGCAGGACGCAGGAGCCTTCCCCTTACACTTTGTTTGTTTATTTAGGGTGGCCTCTGCAACTAAGTTTTACTCAGAGTAGTCTCACTGGAATGAATTGGACCGAACTCGCATAGATTCATTATGGGTCTACTCTGAGTAGGGCGGAGCTGAATACCACCCTTTGGTTCTGTTCCACACTTTCTCCAAGCTCAAAGTGTTTTGCATGGTTCTCCCCGTCCCCATTCCGTCCTCACAACAACCCCGCGAGGTAGAGCAGAGTGAGGGGCAAGGACTGGCCCAAGGTCACGAGTGAGCTTTGTGCCTGAGTCTCCCATCCCTCATCTGCAAGACACGCACTGCTGTGTGTCTTGTGGGCGCTGGGAAGTGGGGCCAAATCCATCCTCCGGGGATCTCTTTGGCAGCTGCATAAGGGCTTCCATCTTTTACCCTGACTTTGTGGAGAGGGAAACTGCTGGCCACAGTTAGCTCCTCTGCAGCACCAAGTGCCAGCCAGGCATTGCTGCCAGTAATACAGTCATCCCATCACTCCAAGGGATAAGCAAAACACATGGCTGAGGGTAACCCCTTCCCCACCCCAATTTCTCACCCTTTGACTGCTCCTCAAGCAGGGTGGGCTGCCTAAGAGCAATTTGGAAGTAGGTGCAGGAGCAGATCTAGCCAAAGGTAAGAAGTTCACAACCTTTAAATACACACACACAAAAAAAACCTTCTTCTGCTTATTTAAAGCTTGCATTTTCTTAACACACACAACTCCCCTGTGGCCCAGAATGCATTGGGCTTTTTGAATGGAATTGTCTGTTATAGAACTTTGAATAAATCTGCTCCTGCTGCAGCCTCCTACAGAATGCTCTTGTGCTGCGTGTGTGTGTGTGTTTATCTTGAGAGCTTTTTTGCCAGGCCCATGCCCTACCCCCAGAGTCTCGCTGGAGGTGCTTTCCCCACCACAGATCCCAGCCTGAGCCTGCTCTGCTTTGTCAGTACTGCCCGACCTCTGCCACCACAGGTCTCAGCATCCTACAAAGAGCATGCAGCAGCACAGGCACACTTTAAATGTCAGAGGGGAAAAGGGGGTGATGCTCTCTGAGGGGACGCCCATCCTGGCAGCCACAGGCCCCCCCCTTGCATGAGACACTGCCTTGGTAGTGACATCACTGCCCAGCACTGGGGTTTCCATAGAAACACCCCCTTCTTTTCAACACACATTGACCAGAGCTGATGGGAGGCTGAGGGGAAGATCTGGCCATGAGCCAGCAGGTGTTCATCATCCCCTGAATGGTTTTGACGGGGAGAGGAATTTCAGGTACTGAGCAGTATCAAGTAAATGTGAATGCACAACTGATCCCTGCTTGTGGTCATGTTCTGGTTACTTGGCTGCTCTTCTGATGTCAGTGAAAGGTGACAGCAAATGGCCCCAAGAGTGACAGATAACACCCCCCCCCCACACACGCAAACACATTCTGATAATGTTAGAGGCAGTTTAGGAAATATAGGATGAGACACACACACACACACGAAAGAGAGAGAGAGACTTGGGGAGCAGGCATTCACTGTTGTGCTGAGCTGGCAACTGGGCAGAACAGGCCTGGTGTCAGGTGAGAGTGACCAGGGATAGGGGAAACACATCTTTTAGCTTAGGCTCAGGGTTGCTTATAAAAACTGTTTAGCGGCTGAAAGGAAGTCAGGGCCTCTGAAACTATTCTGCCAGGATAGAGAGTGTGGGCTCAACCCAGGGGTCAGCAAACTTTTTCAGCAAGGGGCCGGTCCACTGTCCCTCAGACCTTGGGGGGGGCAGACTATATTTTGAGGGGAGGAAATGAATGAATTCCTATGCCCCACAAATAACCCAGAGATGCATTTTAAATAAAAGCACACATTAAGGTAAAGGTAAAGGTACCCCTGCCCGTACGGGCCAGTCTTGCCAGACTCTAGGGTTGTGCGCCCATCTCACTTAAGAGGCCAGGGGCCAGCGCTGTCCGGAGACACTTCCGGGTCACGTGGCCAGCGTGACAAAGCTGCATCTGGCGAGCCAGCGCAGCACACGGAAACGCCGTTTACCTTCCCGCCAGTAAGCGGTCCCTATTTATCTACTTGCACCCGGGGGTGCTTTCGAACTGCTAGGTTGGCAGGCGCTGGGACCGAACAACAGGAGCGCACCCCGCCGCGGGGATTCGAACCGCCGACCTTTCGATCAGCAAGCCCTAGGCGCTGAGCACACATTATACTCATGTAAAAGCACTAGGCAGGCCCCACAAGTAACCCAGAGATGTATTTTAAATAAAAGGACACATTCTACTCATGTAAAAACACGCTGATTCCTGATCCGTCCATGGGCTGGATTTCAAAGCCGATTGGGCCAGATTCAGCCCCCCGGGCCCTAGTTTGCCTACCCATGGCTCAACCATTATAGATTGCAACACCTTCCCCCACATCACGTATATGTGCACACACCACACTGAGTAGCACAGATATATTATGGAATTGGACTTCTTCCAGAGAACCTTGGTGTGTGTGTCTGAAGGGAGTTGTGATGGGGATGGTAAAGCAAGCCTCCAGCTTTCCTTGGTCCCAAGGGGTGAAAACTGATGTGACTGTGCCTGCTTCAAAGCTCTGCCTTAAAAAATATATACGAAACCTTGGCCAGTGCTCCCACTGGTCAGAATGAAATGGGGATTCTGTGCTCTCAAAAACTAGTTGTGTTGCCCCATCAAACCTTACTCCCTTATCCTTAAGCCCGGTTTACTCTCTCTGGTTTACCCTTCCTCTAGCTTTGTCCTTTCTGCTGTCCCACTCTTTGCCAAAATATTCCAAATTTTGCAAATCCCTACTGTTGGAATAAGTACAGATGTCACCAGTTGAAAAGTGGAACTGTGTGCTGCAAGGGCACAATTGATCAAGAGTGGCTTTCATGAGGTCCGCTGGCAGAGAACGTGGTTGCAGAGATAGGCCTCTCCTGTGCTACTTTGTCTCCATGTAATCCTGGGCACTGAGATGACACCTTTACACCCCATCAGATGGACCCACAGTCCCTCTTCTTCCCCAGAAGGGTTTCCCTAGCCAACAACTGCTGCAGAGTCTTCCCTCTGGGTGTCCGTTCGCCATTCCCAGAACCCCCTTCCTCTGCCCATTCACTCCTGTCCTCCAACATTATGTACAATTGCCAAGCCTTTCTCAGGGTCCTTGCCATATACCTGCCAGGAATCAACTCCT